GCTGGCCTTGAACTCTCAGCGATCCTCCTGCCTCAGCTTCCAGAGTACTGGAATTATGAATGTGCATCACCACGCCTGGCTTTTATGTTACTCTTTTTTTTGGTACCGGGGATCGAACTTGGGTCCTTGCGCTTGCGCAGCAGGCGACGAAACCACTGAGCCAAATCCCCAGCCCATTTATGTTACTCTTTGAAGCGAGATCTGAGTGTGTTGTCCAGACTGGCCTTGAATTCCTGGGCTCAAGCAATTCTCCTGCCTCAGCCTCTGGAATAGCAGGGACTATAGGTGTGTGCCACCATGCCAGCTTAAACTCTTTACTTAGTTATTATCTGTAGTGCTGGTGATTCAGCGGAGACCTCATGTGTGCTAGGAGGTGCTTGACCACAGAACTGTCATTAGCCCTTGATCTCTCTCTCTCTCTCTCTCTCTCTCTCTCTGTGTCTCTTTTCATTGAAGTACTGGGGACTGAACACAGGGGCTTTTTCCTGCTATACCCCCACCCCTTTAAAATCTTTTATTCAGAGACAGGGTCTTGCTCAATTGCCCGGGCTGACCTTGAACTTGCAATCCTCCTGCCTCAGCCTCCCAAGTAGCTGGGATGACAGGTGAGCACCACAGTGCCTGGCTCCTCAATTCATTTTTTTTTTTTTTTTTTTTGGTACCAGGGATCGAACTCGGGTCCTTGCGCTTGCGCAGCAGGCGGCGAAAGCACTGAGCTAAATCCCCAGCCCAGTTGTTTTCCATTTGACTCTTTGTTTATATACATACGTGTACCAGAGGCTGGCCAACTGTGGCCCATGGCTCAAGTTCAACCCTTTGTCTTGTATTATAAGGATGGCATGCTAAGAATGAGTCACATTTTCAAACAACTAAATAATAATAATAATAATAATAATAACTGATCGTTATTTTGTGACCTGTGAAATGACAGGAAATTCACACTTCAGGAGCGAAGTTGTAGGCGCGTGGCCACGCCCGCTCATTTGCATGTCGCCTGGGCTGCTGGGAGTCCTGCGCAGAGGCGGGGCGTCTGGGAGACACCGCTCGTCCCCTAAAGCCAAAAAGATTTACTAGCTGGGTCTATAAAGAGAAACCCCATCCCTCCTCAGCCTCCTTGAACAATGTGACTATCACTCCATGGTGTTCTGGGGAAACAAAGCTCGGGAGAAGCTAATAGAACTCTGATTCTGCTCCTTTACACCTGCCCTGCTTGGTCTCAGCCTTTTTTTTTTTTTTAAGACAAGGTCTCACTATGTTATTCAAGCTGGCTTCAAACTCAAAGTGATCCCCCTGCCTCAGCTTCCCAAGTCCTGGGATTACAGGCCTGTAATCCCACCCTGTCCCGAATCTTTCTTTCTTTTTCTTTGTGTTGCTGGGGATGGAACCCAGGACCTCACACATGCTAGGCAAATACGCACCACTGAGCTACACCCCAGACCCCTTTTTCTTTTGCGGTACAAGGAATCAACCCCAGGGCCTTTGCACCTACATCCCCAGCTCTTTTTATTTGTTGTTTTGAGTCACGGTCTTGCTAAATTACTAACTTACCCAGGCTGGCCTCAAACACATGGTGATCCTCCTGCCTCAACCTCCCAAAACACTAGGATTATAAACAGTGCCACCAGGCCCAGGCAGAGCCTTTTTGATAAGAAAGATCCAAGTCTAGCCGGGTGTGGTGCTGCACACCTGTAATCCCAGCACTCAGGAGGCTGAGGCAGGAGGATCACTGGGAGTTCAAGGCCAGCCTGGGCTACCTAATGAGACCCTGTCTCAAAAATCCAAACTGAACAAGAAAGATCCAAATCCATTCAAGCCAGTGAAAGACAAAGACTGATTTGTGGAAGGCTGGATCAAGGCCTGGAAAGGCAGGTCTGGGTGGGGATGATGTAAAATCTCTTTCCTAACTCAGGTCCTGATGGAGTTGAGTGTTGGACACGAACACATCTACACAGATTGCCTCACTTGCTTCACTTCACACAGGCTAGAGGAGGGTTCTGGGGACAAGGATTTGAAGTGAGTGTGTGGGTGAGGCCAGGGCTGGCCAGGCTGCTCCTGAGTCACCTTCGTCCTGGGGCTCAGGGGGCCCTCGGGAGTGGGCAGAGCAGAGGACGCCCTGGCCACGGGGCCTCTGGGGAATCCAGAAAGAACCTGGCCCCTTCAAGCCCCTCCTGGGACCCCTGGGACCTCTGAGGGCCAGGAATGGCATCCCCAGCCAAGAGGAGCAAGTTCCAGGGAGCCACTGAGTCACAGGCCACAGGGTCGGAACAACCCTGGCAGGCTGACAGAGCCCCCCTTTCCATACTGCAGGCTCTGCACTGAGCTACATCCCTTCCCTTTTTCTATCTCATTCTGATTTCTTGCTAAGATGCTAAATCACCCAGGCTGGTTTTAAAGTACAGATCCTCTTGGCTCAGCCTCCTGAGCAGCTGGGATTATAGGTACACACCACGACCCCTGACTTTCTCACCTCTAAGAGTCCCAGAACAAGAGTGTCCCGGACTTGCCAGGTTCAAATCCTGGCTATAAGTGCCAGGGTGACCTGGGCAGATCTCCATGGACATCTGTTTCCTCACCTACAAAATGGGACGAACTCTATATTGGCCAAACTCCCAGAGTCATTGTAGAGAAGAAATGCAATTCTTTAGGTTAAATGCTTAGTACAACACTTGGCCTGCAGCCATTGCTCAATAAAGGGCAGTGTCACGTGACTGTGTTGCCACCCCTTACTGAGCACAGGCTGTATGCAGGGACTGAGGAGCTTGCTCTCTCTCTCTCTCTCTCTCTCTCTCTCTCTCTCTCTCTCTCTCTCTCTCTCCCTTGATTTGTTTGTTTGGTTGATCTTTTGAGACAAGGTCTCACTATGTAGTCCAGGCTGGGGTCAAACTTGGTGGAATCCTCCTGCCTCAGCCTCCTGAGGGCTGGGTTCAGTTCTTTTTATTTTTTATTTGGAGACAGGGTCTTGCTAAGTCTCTAAGTTGCTCAGGCTGGGCTCAAACTTGGGATGCTCCTGTGTCAACCTCCCAGAGCTGGGATGACAGGAGGTCCTCATACCTGGCTTGGCGGTAACACTTTGCTATGCTGCCCTCAGGCTGAGTCAGGGGGAAGAGGAGTTCCTGCCTCTTTCAGCAGTCAGCTTCCTACAGTTCCTGCATCGTCCACACTTGGGTCCAAAGCTGTTGTTCTGTATGCAAGGTGATTTTTGAGCATTCCCAATGCCATGCTGTAGGAGGGGTTGGGAGAAGGGGACCACTCACTCTGCCCAGAACGGAGGGATTTGCTGGGAGGGGGAATTTTCAGTCTTAAAAATAGGATAGTAGGGCCGGGGATTTGGCTCAGTGGCGCCATGCCGTGCCTGCCTGGTAAGCTCAAGGTCCTGAGTTTGATTTCAGGAACAACAACAACAACAAAAGGATAGTAAGGGGGAAAAATAACATCCAAGAGAGATTATGTAAAGGTGCAAATTTCCAGTGATGAATGTCATTATATTATATACCTAAAATGTACCAATAAAATAAAATAAAATAAAATAAAAAAGGATGGTAAATGGATGCATTATTTTTCCTTTCTTTTCTTTTCTTCTTTTTTGGGGGGGGCGGTATCAGGGATCCAACTCAGGACCTTGTGCTTGCCAGGCAGGCGCAGTGCCATTAAGCTACAGGCCCAGTAGATGCATCAGGAGATTTAAAAAAATTTTTAGACAGGGTCTTGCCATGTAGCCCAGGCTGGCCTCAAACTCATGGCGATTATCTTGCCTCAGCCTCCTGAGTGCTGGAACTCTAAGTATGAGCCACCATGCCCAGCCAAGACCGTATTTTTATGTGAAATAAATAGGACACATATGTTTAAATATCGCATTGTTTCTCTATATGAGAAACTGAAAGCATAAGTAAGGTCCAACAGGGATGATAGGTATGGGAAGTAGGAAGAAAATGTTCAAGTAGGAAGAAGAACAAGGGAGGAGAAAGGAGAAGGGAAGCAAGGGAAAAGAAAAACAGAGTAGAAGGAAAAAATGGAAGCAAAGCTTTTGTAAATAAGGAGGCCAAGAAGGGTTTCAGGGAGGGGAGGGAGAAGGGAAACAAAGAAGAATCAAGACATACTATGTACAGGTACAAATTCCCTATGATGAATGGGATCATTTCTTTTATCGAAAGTGTCTTGCCGGGGATTTAGCTCAGTGCTGCCCCCGCCTGCCTCGCAAGTGCAAGGTCCGAAGTTTCATTCCTGGTACCAAAACCAAAACAAAACAAAAAAAACAAAACAAGACTCCTATGCAAAAGTATACCAATATAACTTATGGGGAGAAAAAAAAGGATAGTCCCAGCTGGCCGTGGGGGCACATGCCTGTCATCCCAGCACTGTGGAGGCTGAGGCAGGAGGATCACAATCTTGAGGCCAGTGTGGATTACACAGACACCTGTGTATAGTGGCTGCAGATGTAGCTCAGTAGTAGAGCACTTGGCTGACATGTAAGTCTCTGTGTTCAATCCTCAGTATAATTAAATAAATGAAGCAAGCAGGGAGACCCTGGCTCAATTTTTAAAAGGTGGGTGGATTATCCAAGGAGAGTTAGTCACCCTGGGCTGGGATTCCAGCTGGGAAGGAGTCAGACACAGTCACTCCCCACACACACACACACCCAGGGAGCCTTCTCTGATCCTCCCTCATTGACTCAAAGGCCTCTCAGGGTCTCTCCAGGGCTGCCTCTGCGCCCCCTATTACAACACCATCCCCCCAGGTTGCATTTCTATGTTCTCTGCCCGGGAACCCAGCCACCGTCTGCTGCTGTGTATCTAAAACCTATCACATCCCTTGGTACCAGGTAAAGATGAATGAATGAATGAGAGCCAACAGTCCTTGTGTGGCGGAAGAGTGAGCCGAGCCACAGTCACGAATAGTAGAACCGATCCAGCAAGATTCCCCAGCGAGGATGAGGAAGGAGAAGCCGGGTTTTGAACCCACGGCCCGAGCCTGCTGCAGTCCCTTCCCCCGACGGCGCTCACCGTGTTGTAGAACTCAGCCACCAGCGCCGAGTGCTGGAAGTTGCTCTCACACCAGTCCACTTCGGAGCTCTGGTAAGCCAGGATGCTGGGCATGGTCCTCACGCAGTGCCTGCCGCGGCTCCCTGTGCCGGCACAGCCCGCCAGGGTTAGGGTGCCTGGAGGAGGCCCGGCCCAGGCGAGGCGGGGAGAGGACAGCAGCCCTGAGAGGAAAAACCTGCCAGGCGGCTCCCCGATTGCACCAGGGCCGCCTGGCAGGTGCTATCCAGGGGCGCTGGCGGCTCAGGTGGGGCGGAGGTGAGCGGGCAGGAGGAGGAGGAGCCGGGCTGCTGCTGTGGCGAGGGCCTCCCTGAGGCCAGAACATCACTCTCCCCGTTTGACAGGCACACAAACTGAGGCCAGGAAGCAAAGGGACTCAGTGGCAGCAACCAGGCTGGCTGGGACCCGGGCTTTTTTTTTTTTTTTTTTTAAGGCAGGTTCTCACTGTGTAGCCCAGGATGGACCTGAACTCATGGTGATCCTCCTGCCTCAGCCTCCCAAGAGCTAGGATTACAAACTTGGCTGGTCACCATGCCCAGCAAGGGACCCAGGCCCTTAACCACTGGGCCTGGCTGCCTGGGTACCTCCCCAAACCCCCACGTTGCTTCTGATAGTGGGGTGTGTGGCTGGACGCTTACGTGAAGGGCCTGGCCTAGCCCAGAAGGAGCCCTCGGCTAAGTAAACCTGCCCTGTCATTTTCCCCTGGGAAGTTCCTTTGGGGACCTCAGTCTCACTGTGGGTGTTACGGACAGATGGATTGGATTGAAGCCATTGCAAACCTGTCATCCAGCACCCTGGGAGGCTGAGGCAGGAGGATCACTTCCAGTTCAAGGCCAGCCTGGACTAGATAGTGAGATCCTGTCTCAAAAAACCAAAAATTAAAAATAAGAACCAAGAGAGATTATGTAAAGGTGCAAATCTCCAATGATGAATGACATTCTATTGTATACCTAAAACGTACCAATAAAATTAGTTTTCAACCCCCCCAACTTAATTAATTATTAATTAAAGGAAATGAGCTTGGAGTGGGCATGGTGGCACCCCACACAGAAGGCTGAGGCAATTGGACTGCAAGGACAAGTCCAGCCTAGGCAGTCAAGTGACGTGGTGAGAGCCTGTCTCAAAATAAAAACTACAAAAGGGCTGGGGACGTCATTTCGTGTGAAAGCCCTGGGTTCCATCCCCAGCACCCCAAAGAAACAAACAAAGAAAGATTTTCTTACTGTGGTTGACCTCGACCTCAAAGGCAGACTTGTGAGAACAAGAATAACGTCACACTTTTACCGACTGCTTACCGGCGCCAGGCTCTTCTGTGGGTGCTCAGCGTTCAGCACTCTCTCATTTAATATTCCAATGTTAGTACACGTGCTGCGGGAGCGAGCGCTCTCGCTTACTATTCTGGTCACTCGAAGAGAAAGGAATGATTTTGATCTCCAGGTTACCAGAGGAAGTGAAACCCAGAGAAGTGAAACAAGTTTTCCTAGGTCACACAACCGGTAAGCGGTAGCGTGAGGCAGCCCGCATCACCCCGAAGCCTTGCTTTGCCCATCTGGAAAGTGGGAGTAATAACGGTACCTGCGAAGGATTTTTTTTTTTCCACATTGAATCCAGAGCGTTCTCCCTGAGCTACAACCCCAGCCCTTTTTTGAGTTGTTTTTTTTTTTTTAATTTTGAGACAGGGTCTTGCTAAATCATTGAATTCCTCAGGGCAGACTCACAACTTGTGATCCTCCTGTCTCAGCCTCCCAGAGTGCTGGGGTGATAGGTGTGCACTACCACACCCAGCCTTGTCAGAGTTGGTTTTTTTAGACAGGGTCTCACTGTGTAGTTCAGCCTGGACTATACGCTAGCAGGAGTCTTTAGGAGGAGCCCACAGATTCCTCTCTGCCTCGGAGGATCAGTGGTGGTGTGCTTCTCCCCGACATGATTTTTACTGGTAGCACAAAGGTAGGCACATTCGGGCCCCTTCACTACCTGACAGGGATGGAAGTTCTGCCTCTCTCTTCTCCTGTAGGTATTTTCTGATACAACCCTAAACGCATGGGCGGGCCAGAGTGCTTCTAGGTAGCCTAGTGAGTGTGGCTCCCTAGGCATGTTTCCCGCTCAGACTTTGATAGGAGGTCATGGATTTTTCCATGATGTTTTATTTTAATAGAGAGACTGTAGCCTAAAATTATGCATACCCTTCTCCTAGTCCTTAGGTAACGTGTGCAGGCCTGCGTTCTAGGTTTCATTTCAGCTTTTCTGAATCTTATGGCATGTTTGGAATGCTATCTTGTTCAGGATATACGGAACCAGAAGAAAAACAGACAGTTTACCACATCGATCCTGATATACCAAAGTCACTCGCTAGTGTTCCTTGTTTTCTGCTTTACAGTCTTCTCCTCTCCAAGTTTATTTTATCAGGACATGTTTGTATCACATGCATTTTACAGTCTCCTTGGAAGGTTGGTACATGTTTCCTTTTGTAAATTCCCCCTCCTCCCTCCCTCCTCCAATAGTTCTCTTAGCCCCCTTTTCCAATCTTGTTGATGTTGTTAATCTTAGATCATGTTTGGCACATGTAATGTCCACGTTCACTCAGGTTATTAGGACCTTGTACCTGGCGAAACTGCACTCTACACATTTCCTTATCTCCTCCCCTCATCCCTCACCCTTGATCCTCTGGATCCTTTCTCATCTTTAAGAGATCCATCCACTTGTCTCCTTCTATCCTTTTGTTATTTTTCTCTTTGTGTGTACTTTGCCTCACTCAGATTAAAGATACCATACAATATTTAACTTTGTGTGTCTGATTTATTTCACTCAAAATTATAATTTGTAGGTGCATCCATTTTCCTACAAATGTCTCAAATTTCTCATTCTTTATAGCCCAGTAGTATTCTGTTCTATATACTAGACATGACAATTTCTCTATCCAATTGTCTGGTGATGGTTATACAAAGTGTTTCTGGGATTTAGTTAATATGAATTGTGCTGCTGTAAACATTGATATGCATGTATCAATGTAGTACAATGTCTTAAGATCTTTGGAGAAGATACCTAGAAGTGGGATAGAGTGGTCATACTTTTCATTTCTGTTCTTTGAGAAATGTCCATATTGATTTCCTCAATGGTGTACCAGTTACATTCCCACCGACAATGGAGGAGGGTTCCTTTTCCACCACAGCCACACCAGCATTTGTTATTACTTGGTTTCTTGATTATTTCCTTTCTTTCTGGAGTAAGATGAAATCTTAACGTTGTTTTAATTTGTATCTTTCTAATGGCCAGGAGCGTTGAACAGTTTTTCATATATTTGATAGACATTTGTGTTTTTTCCTTGGTGAAGTGTCTGTTTATTTCAGTTGCCCCTCTCTTGACTGGGTCTTTAATTTTAGGTGTGTAAATATTTGAGTTCTTTACATATTCTAGATATTAGTTCTCTGAGAAATAGCTGGTAAAAAGTCATTTTATATTTTTCAGGTTGTCTCTCTCGCTTTTTTTTTCTCCCCTAGGCCGGGGATCGAACTTGGATCCTTGCGCTTGCGCACCAGGCAGCTAAACCACTGAGTTAAATCCCCGGCCTAGGTTGTCTCTTTACTCTACTGATTGATTTATTTGCTGCACAGAAGCATTTTAGTTTGATATAATCCAATTTGTTGATTCTGGCTATTATTTCTTGTGCAGTTGAGGTCCTGTTTAGAAAATCCTTTCCTACATCTGCATCTTCAAGTGTTTTATCTATTTTATCTTCAAGTATGTTTAATGTTTCTGTTTTAATCTTTGCTCCATTTTTATTTTAATTTAGTACGTAGTGAGAGATATGGGTTCAGTTTCAATCCCTTGCAAAGAGATAACCAATTTTCCCAGCACTGCTTGTTGAATAGGCTGTTTTTCCTCCAACATCATATACTTTTGGCCCTTTTGTCAAAGATCAAATAGCTGGATGTGCCTGGCAGTGTTTCTGCATCCTCTATTCTCTTCCATTGATCCACATATCTGGTTTTGTACCAGTACCATACCATTTTTATCACTGTTGCTTTGTAGTATAATTTGAACTCTGGTATTGTAAGGCCTCATGCTTTGCTCTTGTTGCTCAAAATTGCTATTGCTATTCTTGATCTCTTGTGGTTCCGTATATATTTGGGGATTGTTTTCTTTAGTTCTGTGAAGTACGTTGTTGGTATTTTGATTGGAACTGCATTAAATCTATATAACAGTTTTGAGAGTCTGGCCATTTTGACAATATTGGTTCTGCCTATGCAGTAGCAGGAGATCTTTCCATTTTCTGATGTCCTCTTCAACTTCTCTTTTCAAAATACTTTCTTTTTAGTAATCCTTCACTTCCTCGGTTACATTAATTTCTAGGTTTATCGTTGTTTTGAAGCTACTATAAATGGTCTTGTTTCCATAATTTTCTTCTAATCAAGTTCATTATTGATGTATAGAATTGCTAATGATTTTCATATGTTAATCTTGCATCCTGCTACGTTGCTGACTTTGGGTATTAATTCTCATTTATTTTTGGTGGAGTTCCTTGTGTCTTCTATGTAGTGTATCATGTTGTGTATGTCTAGAAGTGTGTTTTCTTTCACAGTCTGCAGTCTTTAATCTTATAAATCACATTCCTCTTTGCTCTTTTTTATAGTCTGTGAGTTTGTGGGGAGATTTCTCAGCTCAGTGGGTCCCCTGTCTATAAACCAGTTTGTGGTAACTGTCCAAGCTGTCACACCAGCCCAGAAAAGTTGTGGAGCATTGGATTCTGAGGCTCCTGGGATGGATTACTGCTGGTTGTGGGGGGTGCTGGTGACTGATGTATATTCCAGTGTCCAGGCCCAGGGAGGGCACAGGGTGCCAAGCAGCGTCACGCAGGTATCCAGAGCACTGGGCAAAGCAACCAGACCTTTAACCACTGCCAGTAAGGCAGCAGCAGGCAGTAGACTGGCCTGTCATGTCAGCAAAGTACTGTGCCCAGACTCTGACAAAAGGCATGGTGGTGACTGCTGCACCCACAGTGGAGGCAGTGTACCTGGTGCTGAGTAGATGCTGCAGCCACAATCCAAGAGTGCCAGGCAGAGACTTTCGTGGGATTGGAGCTCCCAGTGCAGACCCAGACTGCCCAGGACTGGTGCTGGCTGTCAGACAGAGGCTCTAGCAGGTCTAGGATTGGAGCAGAGCAGTGCAAGCT